TCGGAGAAAGGGTCCAGGGTCTTTGGGCTCTTCGCTGTCGCTCGACTTTCTGTCCTCGCTGCTGCCCCCTCCCCCCCCATCCTGCCCCAGCGCCTCCTGCAGATCCGTCATGGACGCCCCCGGCGGCTGCCCCTGCGAGCCGTGCTGCTCCGACCGGCCCGCGTCCGACGACGTCGTCGACTTGGACGGGAAGCTTGACGTCGGGCTGCTCGAGCCCTCCGGCGAGCCGTCGGGCCCGGAGCCCTTGGAGATGGACGCGTCGCTGCTCTCCTCTGGCGACTCCTTGCCCGAGGACTTGTCGCACTTGGTGCTGGCCTCGGAGCCCCAGCACAGCTCGTGCGCGGAGCTGCCGCCCTGGCTGGCCTGGGACTTGATGTCCGCCATGGCGGGAGCTGCGGCGCCGGAGGACAAGCTGCTGCTGCATCCAGCGTGGTCGTCGTCGCGCTTGCGCTTCTTGCTGTCGGGCTGCATGGGATGGTCCTTGCCCTCCTCCTTGGCCGCCATGAGCGACCTCTCCTCCTCGGTCCAGAGAGGCCTGGTGGCATCGGCCCAGGTCCGGCGGCTCCAGATGTCGCGGACGGTCTTGGGGCTAGTGCCGTACTTGCTGGCAACGAAGGCGCTCTCGACGGTTGCATGCCCGGCCTTGAGGCATCGCTCGGCGTAGATCTCGGCCGCGAGCTTCGCGGACAGCATGGTCTCATGCGAGGGGAGGTCGCTCTGCTGATCTTCATGCGCAGGCGGATCAGCATTGCCGAGGTGTGTATCTTGTGGTGGATGTAACGACGCATGCTCTTCGGAAGAGGTCGGCATGTCGGTGTGCATATCGGAGTGGTTCGCCTGCATTCCCTATCCGGCTTTAGGGTGCATGAATGAGTTGCCTTCAGCGTAAGCTGGTGCGGGAGTAGTTCGATGCGGTACTCCGTTCGGACGGGGCAAGGTACCGGCTATAGGGCTTGAGATCGAGACCCCACCTACTCAATCCAGCACCCTGCCCGTACAAGGCGTGAGAAGCCTTAGGGGTAAGATTTAGGATCTCCCAGAGGGGGTGGGGTGTGTACTGGTTGGCCCTTACGAAAAAGAGTCCTTTCGGACATCGCATCAACGTCATCCGGACGGGGTAATTTATAAGACAGGTATCCATTCTCGATCCTCTAAATTATATCCTCATCCCGATAGCTTCTGTACCCCTACACCTCTCTCATTCTGCAACTGAGCCTCTATGCTCGCTGCACTATCCCCCTACCCCCCTGCTTCCCGCTGCCAGTCGCCTCGAGCTTTTAAAATGACGCTATTTATGATCGGTTCACGCCGGGGTAATTTATAGGAGAGCTAAAACTCTTGTTGAACTTATCAAAACCTCTCCTTTTCAAAAATCTCTCTCGATCCTCTATATCATATCCCTACTCTTCTAGGTTCTGTACCCCTACACCTCTCTCATTCTACAACTGAGCCTCTATGCTCGCTGCACTATCCCCCTACCCCCCTGCTTCTCGCTGCCAGTCGCCTCAAGCTTCATGGACCCCTTGATTTCCATCAAGTACCCCCACCCGTACCCCCTCCCCGTCCGTGCCCTCCTCCCTCCCACGAAAAAGGCATCCGCCCATAACCCCACCCGCCCTGCTCCAGCGCGATCTCCTCAAAGAGAT